GAGTGATACTGCCAATGGCAGCGCTGTAGGAGGGGGACAGCTGAAAACGGAGGCCCCCACCTCTGTTTAATGACGGAAGAGAATGATGGAAGAGAGACGAAACGTTTCATTAAAGAAGAACCCGTTCAGAGGACCTATACAATTTTTTTCCTTTGATTTTTTTACCTGGATTACTGAGATGCATCAGGACACTTTAAAAAGTGAATTTTGCACAATATGYCCCCTTTAAAAGTGAAGTCACTGTGGATAACACAGGTGACTGGAATCAACAATTGGATTCGGAGTGTGAGAAAACATAGGTGCAAACAAATAACTAAGGCTGTGCAACTCCGGGTTGCCACACTACCACTAATACACCTTAGAGTAAAGGGAAACATAGTTAAARCTGCTTAAATCTTCTAATGCAGCCATTTAAGTGTGTAAAAGAAGTTCTGAGCACTTTACAGTCATGTTTATTGATAAGCACCTGAGAAGCATGAAATGTCAYGCTGGTTGACAGAGGTGAAGCCAGTAGAGAGTTGGGCAGTGACATGAGCTCTGCAGGGCCCTGGCTGATAGTATCTGTCTCTCTAACTAAAGGCATGCCCAGGTGAAGCAGGTGGGTTAGGTTTCATGTGAAAGCAGATTGGCAAGCAGAGAGGAGCTCTGTCGTCTGCCGGGTTCACCTTGTCACATCTCGAATCTGAGCAGTCATGGAAACTACCCCGAGCTGCACCAGGGTAGCTGAATGTGGTCGAGTATCACTTCCASCCATGGCTGTATTTGTTTTCAGCACCGAGGATTCACCCCATCACATGTTTGGGACTGTCAGCTCATGCTAATGCAGTCAGCTGGGTTGACCAAAGCAAATCTTGTTGGTTTGGAAATGAGCAAATGTTCAGTCCTTTGATCTTGGAAAAAAAGCAATGAAATTTTCTTTTATAGATGCTTACTTCAGTGATGACATGTTTCTTGCCTCACCCACTGGCACCAGTTTTCTGTTATCACTAACCCCCTGTCTCCACTTGCCTCATCGCCCCTGCCCCCTAAGTCTTCTAAACTTGTCTCATCTGCAGTCTGACATTTTGGTTCAGTACCCTGTCTGGTTCTCCTCTGTGCTTGTRTCACCAGTGGTGAGCACAGCTAACCAAAATGTTAGCTTGGCTAACTCATAATTCACTAACAAAAATATAGGTAACACTAAACATGTAAAAAAAAATAAAAAGCAGAAGCTAACACTAAACAGCTGAACAATTTAAAATTTGCAGAAGCTAACACTAACAACTACTCGCTAACTGCTAAAGGGGCAATAT